AGGGGGGGAGGAGAGGAATGTCCGAGGAGCAACGATTGTTAACCGATCGAGGGGCGGTGCACCGTGGACAAACCATGAACAGGACTGTATTGGCATTTGAAAAATAAGCAGGAGTCACAATCACAATGGGCATGATGACCTCGATGCAGGATCCGAGTGTAGAACATAAGCCCGATAGGACAAGACAAGCACATACAAACTACTGTACTATACGACAATGCAATGCGCTGTTGCGTACAACCTACGATGACACAGCATATAATCCAATATCAGACCAGATGACGTGCACGACAGACTACACTCTATTAAACAAACCCGAACGATAAGAAACTAGAATCGACAGCCGAAGACTGGACACTATGAAACATTACTGGGTGTGTGGCGACAAGTCAAGACGGCACGATAACATACATGCCTAAGAGAACCGATCTGATAACACACCATCGGGCAAGACCAAACATTGTGTCAATATATGCAATGACATCCCATGCATGCACACCCGTCCCCTGGCCGCCTCTGGGTCCCGCGTGCGAAGCCAGTGCGAGAACATGATCCTGATCATCCTGCTCTGGACGTACCTGCTAGTACATAGGCTCATCGTCCTAGCACTGCTGCTGATCTTCCGCATCCTCATGTATCCTTCATCATTTCTGGTATGACCCTCCTCATTCTCATCAATGCTGCTGCTGTTGATGTCTCCCCCTCTGAACGCCCACCTCCACCATCTTCCTCATATTCCTTATCTTCCTCGTCTTCATCCTCCTCGTCGTCTTCGTCTTCCTCACATTCCTCCTCTTCTTCAGATTCCTCACCTTCCTCAGCTTCCTCATCTTCCTCGTCTTCATCTCCTCGTTCCTCATCCTCATCTTCCTCACCTGCCTGACCTTCCTCATCGATATATTTATATATATATATATATATATATATCATCTCCCTCAGCTTCCTCGCCTTCCTCGCCGTCCTCATCTCAACATCTTCCGCATCTCCCTCATCGATCTCCCTCGCCCCCCAACCAGAACGTGCGACGCAAGCAAGGGCACCGAATCCCTTCCAACCTTGCTTTTGTCGGCTTGCGGCCGCGCTCCTTGCGGTGGCTCTCCTGGCGCACAGCGGAGAACGCTTCGCCCCAAGCAGCCTGGGCGACCGCAAAGAGGAACTATGCGAACATAGATGGAGACGCGACATATGCATACGCGGGAAGTCGATGGAAGGCGAGGAGACATGGAAAGTGGGAGGCATGGTCGACGAGGCGGATGGAGGCATGCACGGGGGGCATTTGGGGGGGAGGCATGAGGGATGAGGGTCCACTTGGGGAGAGGGGTATGGTGGATGGGGAGTGGGGCATGGGAGACGGGGAGGCACGTGCACGCCGCCGTCGGCACCATCGCCGTCCTCCCCACATCGAGTCCGTCGCCCTCATCGTCGTCATCATCATCTTCCTTGTCATCATCTTCGTCGTCGCCCCCTGATCCCCCCCCCCCCCCCCCCGCAGCAGCCGCCATCGTCGGCTTCTGGCTGTAGCGGAGGCCCTCTCCGAGACTGTTCAGCTCATGCATCAATTGGGCGAAGACCTGGCAACAGGGGCTTGGAGAGAGACGAACATGCACCAGTTCATGTTATAACATGGTGGTCATGCCGTTCTTGTATACAAGAACGGCATGGCCACCATGTTATAACATATCACTACACATCCTCGAGCGCCCCCCCTTCATACATCATTCCCTCATGAAATTCCCTTCGCCCCCCCCTCCTTCCCCCCCTCCTTCCCCCCCTTTCCGCGTTTCCGTTCCCTCCATTCTTGCCGCCCTTCCTTCTGTCCCTCCTTCGCCCCCCCCCCCCCTCCTTTGCAAACGCATCCACTCTTACTGCCTCACTCCTTCCTACCTGATCCCCCCCCCCCCCCCCCCCCCCCCCCCCCCCCCCCCCCCCCCCGATAAGGCCTCGACCCCCGCCATCTTGGGGCGGCAGTCGAACTTCAGCGCGCTATATTGGAAGTCGGGCGCCCCTCATGCGGGCGCTCGCGCAATTCAGAATGTGGACGCCCGGGGCCAGCGAGCCAAGTAAGGAAGACGTGGGGTAGTCGTCTTCCTTACTTGAGTCGTTGACGTCGGGGCGTCATAGTTAGTTTCCCTGGCCCCCCCAGAAAGCCTTCTTTCAACGTCGGCCACTCCTCCGCGATGTTCGCCAGGGCCCCCCGCGATCAACCTCACTGGAACCTTTGCCGCGCGCTGGTGCCTGGCCATAGTTGTCGCCCCCGACGGGGGCGAAGACGCAGAGGCACCAGCGTCTGTCATGGCGCCGCGGCCACGAAAAAAACATGCAGGCCGGGGGCCCCGCCGCATTCGACCCGATTGGCGACGGGCGGCGAGGGCAGGGCCGACGATCGAGCGCATGCCTCATGGGCGGCGCGACCGACGGGGGCCGCAAGATAACCCATGAGAGGAATAAGGATCGATGAGGGAAGAAAGGAAGGGGAGGAGGGGGGGGGGAAGTCCGCTTCCATCCGCACGGGGGGAAGTCCGCGAGGGGGAAGGGGGGAAGGGGGGGGAGGGAGGGGGGATCCCTTGAACTGTAGCCCACTCCATTCCCCACTTTTTTCAAAAAATAGACGTGTAGACACTTTTTGATTTGCAGGGCGAGAGCGAACCTCTTCCGCTGAAAAAGCTAAGCACATGTAGACTTGCATTTTTGGTTGCCCTTCTGAGGCCCGAATCTTGGAAATGCTACAAAATGTCAACAAAATGTCTTTGTGGTGTTCCGGGAGAGACATGCGCAAAAACAATTTATTATCTTTAAAAATTGTTTTCGCAACCCAGAGAAATTCCAATGGAGAAACAATTGGTTAGATTTAAAAGTTGGTTTCGCAACCAAGGGAACAGGTTCTATCTGCGCAACAGCGAAAAGCGCGCCAGTTGCGCTGTGATGGGCAGGGGGCGCGCGCCAGCGAGGTCGCGCACTTGCTAAGGTCCTGACCGCCCTAGTTCGGACGCGCAGCTCCAATCATCTCAAGCAGCGGCGCGCCATTCGAGCCGCGGCGGCCACCCCTCCTGGCTTCGCGCGCCCCATAGGTTCCCAGTGCCCACAGGTGGCCTCGTGATGGCCCGAGACGCCTCGGGCCCAGCAGGGGGGGGGCCGCATGCGGCCGCACGCCCACTCTGGCACGCCCCGCACACGTTCCGAGGCCCCGTTCGGAGCTCCACGGAAAGCCCCTCTGGGAATGGCCGCATGCCGCCGCCAGCCTATTTTGGCACACCCTCTCAACGCATCGTGGCACCGCAGGGAGCCCCGCCGAAAGCCCCCGACGGACCCCCGCGACTAGCGCGACAGGGGCGGACCACGGGCGCCAGAACGCCCTACAGCCTCTTTGGGAACCGCCCGTGCAAGGACGACGCCAGTTCGCTTGCGAACTGGGTATGAACTGGCTGGCGGCGTCGCGCGCAGCGCTGATGGTATCACGAGCCATTCAACTAACCCCACATGGACGTTGAACGCGGTTGGTCTGCCGTGTTCTGCCTCCAGAAGCCACTCGTCAACTTCGGGGAGCCCCCCCTACCCCATCCCCTTATCACGCCGAAATGTTTTTGGACGCGGCTGCCGCGCGGTTTGCCGCTTACAAGATGGCCAAGCATGGGTCCAATCTGGCCCCCCCGATGACCCGAGACGGCGTTCAGGGAGGGTGGAGATGACCAAAGTTGGTCCACTACATCGGCCAACGCGCCGTCGAACAGCCCCAACAAGGAAACGGGACGGCATCGAGTGCGCTCGAAATTCACGCGGGACCCCCCCCCAAGACCCACGCATCTTGCGAAGACGCAGTAGTTCTGCATGCGTTGTCTTACCACCATCACCGCCATATCGCGCCTGACGGGCCCGCGGGCCGCAAGAGAGCCCAAAGGCGGCCCATGACAGCCCCAATGGGGGGCAGGCCGCGCCCGAGGCGACCCCACTAATGCAGGAGAAGGCCCCTAGTGGGCCCCGAGAAACGGCACTGATGACACCAGGAGCTGCGGGTGACAACTACGGACCGCAACCTGTGATCACGCCCTTCTTGCTATCTGTCGCCCCTAGGGCGGCACTGATAGCCCGCGGACCCCTCAGGTGACTTCTAGGGATCCAGGGGGGGAGGCAAGCAGATCACCCAAACAGGGCTCCAGGAGATCCCAGGAGAAACTCCAGAGAACCCCTGGGGGGACAATAGGGGGCACAAGTGGCGTCGCGAGAATGCCCACAGAGAGCCAGAGGGGGGGGCGCCAAGAGGGCCCGATAAGACTCCGACATGGCAACGAGGGGCTCCTGCAACAAGCGGTTCGCGCATGCATCACCATCCACCTCGTCCTAGATAGACCTTTGAATTAGTGCCTACATCATCCCCCCTTGCCACATCACCCTCATCCTGCATCCTCGTGCATGCTATTCCTCGCCCTCGTCGTCCGCCTCATGCTCGCGGTCGCGGCCCGCCTCAGCATTGCACTCGTCCTCGCCCCCAATGCGCCGCTCACCCAGTACCCCCTAGTGCGCGCCCCAGGGGTTCACCCGAAGGGCGCTCCTGCGCCACCGATTGCTCCCGAAGCGGTGTCGGCTCACCCTGGCTGGCTGCTCTGTTTCACTAGATGCGCCTCGCCCTGTCACCCCCCTCGGCACTCGTAGCACTCACATCTGGATGGGCTGGCGGCGGCCCGCGACACGCAATGGATAGACGTCCAAATATACTGCGCGGAAGCGCAGCGCGGCACCTGACAGGGAGGGGACATCGGCACCCTCGACGCGAACGTCGATGCGAGTGCAGCCGCGAAGGGGCTGCACGACACTGACCCAGAGCTGGGGGCGACTTGCGGAATGGCCGAAAGGCCTCCACGAATCAAGAAATGAATGTCCGACGCTGCAACCGAACGAACGCACGCAAAGCAAACCCACTGTGCCCCAGGGACCCCTTCCGCCGACTCCCGAACTCGGCGGTGCCCAGGCCAACGCGGCCTCGGGCGGAACGCGCAGCTGCACGCTCACGATACCACCTCCGAACGGAGGCCCTTGCGGAACACGCCCGTGAGCACGGCACCCAGCACCTTGCTGGGGGTGACGCCGTGCTTGCCCATGCTCTTCTGGGCGTCCACCAAGCTCGAGCGGACCTTCGCCGTGTCAGTGTTCGACACTCCGTGCCACGCCCTGGCGACTCTCCCGCGGAACATCACCACGTAGGCGAGGTCTGCGATGCCCTGCGCAGTGGTGATGGCATCCTTCTGGGCATCGTAGCTCATGTACTCCTTTGCCTTCCCCTCCAGCTCGGAGGTCGCCTTGCGGCGGGAGCCGAAAGAGAGCGGGTGGATACGTGCAAGGCTTCAGGGTTCGGTTGGGGAGCGATGATGGCAATGACGATGCCGACGGCGACGACGAGGATAATGACGACGACGATGGCGACGATGGCGATGCAGATGAGGATGATGAGAGTGGCGAGGGTGGGGACGGGCACGGTGACGAGGATGAGGATGCGATCTGGGGGTGGGCGCAGGCAGACGGGCAGAGCTGGCACATAAGGGATAGGTGGAAGACTAGGGACTAGGGGGACTGAGAAGGGAAACTATGGAGAGGGCGTTGTGGGATGGCGGCGCGCACACACGCTCGTGCGCGAATGTTGCGCCCACCGCCGTCGCCTTCACGAGGGATGTGATTGCCTTGTCCATGTCGTCAAACTGGTAGGCCGAGATGGTGGCGTTGAACGCCTTCATGACGCTCTTGAGGTCGAGCGCATGCTCGAGCTCCGTCAGGAACTGCTCTGCCTCGGCCGACTTGGAGAGGGTCACGACTGTGTTACCGAGGAGGCCGATGTTCGAGTTCAGTATCTCCAAGTGCTTCGTCATCATCGAGGTGCGGGTCTCGTCGTGCTTGTTGCGCCACAGCTTCGCCTCACCTTGCAGGGTTGCCAATACAAGGTCATCATCGGCCTTGACCACTGTCACCGTGTCGAACATCTTGATGGCGCGGCTCAGCGTCGACAGCTTCTTATCGAAGTCGGCCTGGTGGATGATCGCCTCCAAACCGTCCTCGGGGTTGCCCATCGCCGACGCCGCGTTGCGCAAGTCGGACATGCGCTCCAGCAGCTTCGCGGCGCCTGCTGCCCAGTCGGAGCGCGGCGGACTCACGTGCCCCGCCGCCTCCTTAGCAAGCGCCGCAAGGTTCTTCACATCAGCCAGCACTGTGTCGAACGGCTTCCTGATGATCGTGTCGATGATGCTCGCGGCCTCGTCGCTAATCTTGTTGGCGTCATCGCCGCCGCCCCCCGATGCCTTCGTCATGCGCACGAGGTTGCTCCGAACGTCCTCGGACGAACACTCGCCAGTCTTGAACATCTCGATGGAGGCAGACGCCTTCTTGGCCGACGCCTGCACCGCCAACGACGACTTCGCACGTAGGATGACCTCCCTCGCCGCAGCGACCTTGTCCTCCAAAGGCATGACCCTGGAGATGCACTGCCCGAGCTCCACGTACTTATCGATGACCGTCGTCGCCATCGGGATGTCCTCAACGCCCGCCCCAGTCGGCAAGGCGTTCACGTGAGAGATAAATTTTGCCAATATTGCCGATGAGAGCTTCTCCACTGGCTCCGTCCCAATCTCCTTCTCGAACCATTCCAGCTTCGTTGCAGCTTCGGCCAGGCCCTCCGACGCCTCCACTGTGGGCTGATCGCCGATCACCTCCAGCGCCTGGGAGACCTTCGTGATATCGGGGTAGAAGTGCTTGCATACCTTCGCGGTCTTGCGCAAGCTGGCCACCTTGTGCTGCCACAGCGTGCTGTCGTCGGCCGCCCTGGCCACCACGGTCCAGATGTCACTGCCGCCACCACTCGCCTGGGAAACCACGAATAACTCGATGTCGTCAAACACGTGCGCGGGCGTGGACTCGGGAATCCTGATGTCGTTCATCAGGGCCAGCACGGCGAAGATGCGTTCGCAATCGCTGAGGGCCTTGGCGCACGCGGGGCCGATCTCGCAATCCTCGGCCTCCTCTGGCAACCGCAGAAGCGGTGGCGCGTTCTCGGCAACGAAGAAGACGGCCTCCGACGCGGACCCCCCATGACGGAGCCACTGCGCGACGTTGTTCAGAAGCACCTCTGTCAGGAAGTAGCCCGCCCTCTCCGCGTCAGTCATGGTGGAGGTCCGAATCGTCAGCGCGTGGATGTCCATGCAGCGGGAGTCCCCCACGGAGGTCCACACCTAAGGGGAGGATGGGGGGCGCGGCAGCGGCAGCGGGCCAGGGCGGACACGACGGTCGACGGCGAAAGGGCCGCTGACGACGAGCGGGAGGATATGTTAGAGGGCAGTTGAGGGGGATGGGGCGATGCGGGAGGCAGGGGAGTTGGGGGGGCAAGGGAGACGACGAAGCAGAGGGGTTGTAGGATGGCGGAGTGCGACGCGGACGAGTCATCGGACGGGGGTGGAGGAAAGGGTGAGCGCGCTGAGATAGGGCGACGTACGATGGACAGGGAAACGCGCGACATGCGATGGGGGAGCGGAGGTGACAGCTGGGCCGGGGGTCGGCGAAGAACAAATGAAACATACTGTGGTTCGGGACGGTGGCTCGGGGACGGGGCCACGAGCGAGGGAAGGTGGAATGGAGGGCGATGGAGGCGAGGACGAATGCAAAGGGCGGCGCTGAGGGGTGGGCTGGCTCAGATTGAAAAGCCAGAACCTTGAGCATGTCGCATAGCTTCATCAAGGCCGACTGGTGGCCCTCCATCTTCAGCACGTTCTCCCAGAGGGGCTTGGTATCGAAGTTGATGAGGTACATCTGGGTGAAGGACGGCCACGCGTCGATGGCTGGCGACACAAGTTCCAGGACCTCCCGCTTGCGCTCGCGCTTCATGCGCTCAAGATTGGATGGCCAGAGCTCGGAGCACGTCCTGATCAAGTTCATGTGCCGCGAAGCGTTGTCACGCTGCAGCGGCGGGGCCTCCTTGGACTTCTCGATGAGCCCGAGCTGGTTCAGCTCCCTCTTGCACTCGGCCCCGAGCAGCACGTCAGCCAGCGGGGACCGATCGATCCAATGCTTGGCGGTCCCGAGGGGGCTCAATGAATCCGACTGCGGCCTCTTAGGGGGGATCACTACGGAAGGCATGCCGAGGAATATCTCGTGGTTGTTGCCCATAGCATCGACATCAACAACGTTGTCTCCCAGACCATCGGCCGCGGCGCTCTCGTCGGTCATGACCCCGTCCTTGATGGCCAAGCGCCCACCGACGGCCCTGCTGAGCTCGTCGTCGGCCTTGGCATCCGCCTGCCCTGGCCCTGAGGGGTCGGACTGCTTAGCTGGCTTAGTCGGGGTCTCCTGCTTGCCGATGTGCTCGTCCAAGGTCGTCAAGAAGCGGGACAGCGACCCCGCGCCAGTGGGGCCAATCACTTTCTTCACGAAGCTCTTGAAAGCGATCGAACAATGGCCCCTGAACTTCTCGATCATGCCCGTCTTAGTCTTCTTAACCGTGGCCGTCGCCGAAACCTTCGAGAATACCGTCAGACGTGGCCGAGGGCGTCCAGGCAATGGAAAGGCGAATCGCAGCTCCAGTTTCCCGTCCGTCGGGGAGCGCCTCTTGATCACCTTCGCCTTCGCCGCCTCGGGGCTCTTGTTGGCCAGGGTCTGGAACTCGGTGCGGGTCAAGAGCTCGAACGACTCCTCGATGAGGTACCCGACCTCCTCGCCCGACGAGAGCTCCAGCGGCATGCCGACCTCGTCGCACATAGCCTCGGCCCCGTCGCCATCGGGCACGTCGAAGCCCAGCGAGCGCATCACGTCATTGCGCCTCGCCTCGTCTGAATTCAGCTCAACTACTACCTCCCGCACGTCGCAGTCGGGCACCCCCTCCTGCACCCAATCATAGCAGCGCTTGCACATCCACAGGGCCTCGACTGGATCCTTGGCGGAGTCGGCCGCGGGGGAGACGACGCCGAACTGGTGCTCGTGCTCCTGCTGGCCCCGCCCACCCCCGAAGCTGCAGGCGACGAGACAGGAACTGGTGACCGAACCCTCCTAGCATCCACGTCCCAACATTCTGATGGCGGGGATGGGGGGGGGGCTAGCTAGAGGCCGCCACGGGGCCCAGGGGGGTATCAGCAGCTTTCAAAGCACTGCCGCTGTCTAAACAACGCCCCGTGCAAACTACTGGGGATGGGGGCTCGGGTATACCCAATGATTTCAATCCGCAGGTGTCCTTATTGATGGACCTGCACAGGCCGCACTTCCGCGTAGAAGCCCTCGACTTCCTCTCGCGAACGGGCTCCCACTCGACCTTGAAGGCCTCATCCTCGTCGGCGCCCTTGGCGAACGACTTGCACTTCTTCGAGCTCGACCCCGAGGCCTTGGCTGGGATCCGCTTGCGGGTGTCGCTCTTCTCGGCCATCGCGAGCAAAATGCCCGCCAAATACGCAGGAGGGGATTGGTTGGTCTACCGCAAGGCCCCGCTGGGGAGAACGTGAAAAAAACGGAAGAGGGCGACGTGCGGAGGTGGGAAGGGCAAGGGGAGAGGGAGGAGGGGGCAGGGAGGATGGAGGACGGAGGACGGCGGAGGGAGCTTGGAGGGGGGAGGAGGGAGACAAGGGCGAAGGAAGAGGGGTTGGGAATCAGGGCAGGGAGATATGGAGTGACGACGACGGACAGGGACACGAGCGAGGCCGCTCTGGGCGGTATTGGGGGCTGGGGGCGGGTGGCATGAGGGGGGCTGGGGAAACGCAGCGGTAAGCCAACCAATGGCGGCCGCCTAGCGAACACCAGACTCGTCAGCAAAGGCGGTTGGTGGGTTTGCGCCACACGGCTATCCACGGGCGGAAGGAGGCTCCGCATCGATTCGGTCGGGGTTCCGATGCCAAGGGCAACCCTGGACCTGGGGCGGGCACCCGTTCGGGAAGGGCCCGCACGGCCCTGAAATTGCACGAAAGGCCGCGACGGGCCGACCCTCCCACCACCCGCTGGTTTCACATCAACAGGGTCACTGCCTCAAACTTACCATGGGGCGGCGATTGCGAACAGCCTATGAAGCACGTCTTCGGGGGGGCCACACAAACTCGCGCTCCTACGTGGGAAACTCGTTTCGGCATCGGCCTCTCCCCACGCCCATCCTCCTTATCACGCGTTGGGTTCCCCTGGGTATTGCAGAGCCTTGACGCCTCGCACGGGCCTCGGTTGATGTGCACCCCCCTGTGCCGAAGTATATGGTATGGCGGTATGATGCTGATGGGTACTGATGGTTATTGATGGCTGTTATTGATAGCTACTGATGCTTACAGCTGGCGCCCTTGGGCGGGCTTCTCTTGGAGACGAGTGATGATGGTTCCACGCGGCGAGCTGCCCAACGAAACAGTCGAGCGGACATCCGACACATATATCTGGATATAACGGGCGCGCTCTACGATGCACACCTCAAGAAAACGCGAACGAATGTGGCAATGCGCCCAGGGCGCGCGCAAGCTCTAGGGCAGCAGCGCGGATACGCACAAAGCAATCAATATGCGTGACCGCATGCATTCACAGTCAAAGTTTCACCACACATACGTCACGCATATGCGACTCATGATTCCACAGGGTGGCGTCGTCACTATCATGCCTAATCACTATCGCTCTCGCTCACTTCGGAGTTCCACATCTGTTCCACTTTGACTGTGATGCCTAATCGCTATCGCCTCAGGACAGATGGTCTGCCTAATCACTCTCGGTCTCTTCGGGGTCCCAAGACTCTTCCACTTTGAATGTGACGGAAAACCTGCGCTTCCGATTCAAGAAGCTCGTCGATGGGTAGCCCTCTCCTAGCGGTTGCGAGATCTGCGTCACCATCGTATGGAACGCATCGGACGCGATGATCCTCGGCATGGCCTCCATGGAATCGTACTCGAACGTCTGCTCGAAGACCCTCCTGCGACGCGGGTTCGATGTTGCGGCTGATGCAGCTGTTGGTGCGGTTGGTGCAGCTGCCTCCGTTGCCTCTTCTGCTGGTGCGCTGTGGCTATCGTAGTCGGGCGGCGGCATTGGTGGCGTACCTGGCAGCGCCTGCTGAGGCTGCTGAGGTGCGGGCGAGGCCGATGGCGGGGGCACGTATGGAGTTTCGTCATCGGCTTGGGGCACTGGGACCGAATCCTCCACCTCCACGACGATGGGCAGGGGGCGGGCCGAATACTCTGACGGTCCATCCTGCGGCAACTCGGGGGGTGCGTGCCGCCTCTCCGACGCGCTCCTCTGCCTAGGTGGCCCGAAGCCCGAGTTCCCAGTTTCAGGGGGCGGCTCGAATGGAAGCGAACTCATCCGTGGATTCCGCACTCAGGCGCGGAACGAAACGAAAAAGGGACCAGCGATCGGCTCGAGTCAACGCGGCTACGGAGGGGTCGAGGGCGACGGAGCGACGAGGGCGGGGGTCTGGCAGAGGAGGCGAAGAAAACAATGCATCTTACATGGGATCGAAGCCTTCAGGCCTGAGCACGGCCAAGAGCCTACGGCCTTGCCCCCCCACCTGAACAATCGAGCAACTTCAACCCTGAAAGCACGGCGAACCCAAAGGCACATCCCTTTCAGATCCACCCGCAGCCAGAGGAAGGCGGCGCAAGTGGCATACCCATGAAGCAACATAACGCATCTGGGACCAAAACAAGCGAATCGCAACATGGACAACACGTGCCATGGCCCGCGCAGCATTACCTCGACATCACTGCGATTGGGTCTGGAGCGGTAATGGCGATGATGGTGATGCTGGTGATAATGACGGTGGTCGTGGCGCCTCTGACCGAGACGTTGACGGCGATGTTGATGGCGGAGGGGGTGATGACGAGCTTGGCGAAACTGGCGTGATGATGATGATGATGATGATGATGATGATGATGATGATAGCGATGGTGATGTCAGTGGTGATGAGAGTGATACGGACGGCCCTCCTCCTCTTGCTGTCCTCCTTCTCCTCCTCCAGGGTTCTACCGCGGGCGCTCCTCAGGCACCCATTTCGGTAGTGTCGGCGGCGGCGGCCGCGTAGCTGGCCAGGGCATCGGTGCGCACCTGTTCTAGCTCCTGCTCCGCCTACAGGGCGGCGTCGCAACAAAAAATAATAATCGCGTCCACGATGGCCACGGGCCCGCGGGCCCGCGACCGTCGCAGGCCAGGTGGCCCCCATTTCAGCGCGGCATGCCGCCCCAGAGCCTGGTCGATCCAACCCTGCCAGAAGAGGCAGTACGAAGCAGATGCCGTTCCCAGCTACTGCATCCGCCCCGCGGCCCGCATCGCAGCCTCGAAGTTGATCCACGCCCGACGCGAGTCCACCCATGCGTGGAACGCGAAATTGAGCGCATCCTCCCACATTTGGTGCTCACGACCGTAGACAGGGGGACAGGTGGCCTGCGCAGCATCATCGTCCGTCGCAGGCGCGCCCCCAGACGTGGTGCCCGAGCTGGGCGCTGCCGCCGCGCCAGAGGGCTGGGGCTTGCCCCGCAGGCGTTTTGCCGAGGGCTCCCCTCGGGCGCTGCCCCCGCGGCCCGCGCCATAGTCGGCGCGGGCGGCGGGGGCATGATCGGCGACATTGCTTTTGCGCTTTGGGCCGCGATAGACGGCGGAGGCGTGGACGGCGGCCGCGGCCTTGGCGGCCTCGCCTGGAACGGCAACTTCGGCCCTGAGGCCCTGGGGCACGCGGACAACGGACAAGCAGACGGAAGCACCACCCTTGGGGGCGGCCGCGGCGGCACCATCCTCTGGGGACGCGGGAGCTCCCCATGCGGGCCCATCATGGGCGGCGCCCCGGCCTCCGGTGCGCCGCGCACGCTCGAACTCAAAACTTCGGCGGGTGTTTTTTTGTTGTTGAACACTTCTGTTCCGACAGAAATACGGTCGCCCGAGGGCCTTGCACGGGCACCGCCAACGGGCCAAGGGCCCTGCGTGGGAGGCCGACCCTGCATCGCGACGAGCGGCCGCCGCCGCCCCGCACTCAAACCAAAAAATATCAAGTGGGGAAGGAAGGGGGGGAAAGGGGGGGAGGTGCACAACAGGATTGCTGGACCGCACCACATCTGACGTCCTACCATTGCCACCGCATCTGGTTCTCGGTGCCACGTGGGCCCTGTCCATTACCGTCGTCGCGCGACCCCAGACCCTGTCCGCAGACGTGGCGTGCCATCAACCTAAGCCGTCAATCATGCAACAACGCCTACATATATATATATATATACATACACGTAGTGATGGATACGCCAAACACTTCCTCTCTACAAACCTGATATACGCAACACACCCAACATAAACTTAGCACGACGAAGCCGTTCTGGCTCCTGAACCAAAGCGCACGTCAAAGTTTAACCTCATCTGCTGCTCAGGGCAACAGATTAGCCAAAGCCACAAGTTCTGTCCGAACCATCCGACTCGCCTGAACCATGCGACCTACTCAACCCAACCGTGAGCATCTGGAATTAAGGCTCAGGGCCAGAGGCTCCAGGTTTGGAGCTTCTGGCTGAAGACCCCGCGGTTAAAGGTCAGGGTTCCAGGCTTGAGGTTGAGGGCGTGAGGCCTTGGGCTCATGGCCTGTTTCCGAGGTAGCGCCAAAGGGCAGAATGCTCGGGGCTTCGGTGTCAGGGCCGACGGCTTGGAGTCGGAGGCGCGGGGCCGAGGGCCCCCCGAGCTGCGCGCCCACGGCCCAGCGGCTTGGCGGCGCGGCTAAGGAATAGCGCCTTCGGGCTGAAGGCCCGATGCCCAAGGACCTGGGCTCAGCGCCTAAAGCGGAAGACACGTTGCCAAAGGCTGCAGGATTTTGGCTCAGTGGCTATGGTTTCGGGCACTTGCTCTCAAGCGCGATGGCTTCAGGCTTCGCATATCGGGCATCGGGCACTGGGCCCAGGGTTGAGACCTTATGGGCCAGGACTTTGGGATTCTGGCCCACTGCCTATGTCTGAGGGCCCAGTGCCCAGGCCTCAAAGCTCTGTGATGAAGGCAGACATGCCAGGGCCAATTGGCTACCGCTGGCGGCATGGTGCTGCGGCCCTAAGGTTGGGATCCTCGCGCAAGGGGCGAAGGGGCCAGGTCTGAAGGCTTCGTGCGCGGGGCCTCAAGCTGAAGGCTTTAAGCTACAGGCTCAGGGCTGACACCATGCCCAGGTGCCGTGCCATGGGATGAAGCCCAGGGTCGCCGCCCTCAGATACAACGTTGTCTCTGGCTCCAGGACAGGGACCCAGGTCTCTGGGATGAGGTGTTCGGAGAAGTCCAAGGCTGAGGTCCTGGAGCGATGTCAGGAGTTATGGCCCTGGGGGTGTTCAGAGTAGCGGCCATGTCTTAATGATAGTACAGTGGATCGGCCTACACATGGCCCTGGAGACTCGGTTGCGCAGGAACTGCGAAGGCGCTCCGACGGCGCGAGCATGCCCCCCCCCCCCCCCATCAAAACCA